GGTTAAAACCAAAAGTTAAGTAACCCAAGTTTCTTTCACCTCACCCCCATGCATGCTGCAAATCAGGGCTGGGGCTGAGTTTTAACGATTCACATATGACTTTTCTATGATTAACACATCATCTTTTTCCAGTAGATTGAAGTTGAGATGGTCCAGGTCTTTGCATCTGAAAACTAGTGTCAACAAATCCTTCGTCCCCTGCTCTCTTTTCTTCAAAGCTCTATAGTAGGATGGTGGTTGTCAGACAGTGAAGTGCATATGTTAGTAAGCACTCATTAAATGTCCCTTAGTATTCAGTTATTTCCATAATCAGATTTTATATCCTGGAAAGTGAATGAAATTGAAGTCAATTAGTTTAGAGCTTTCCAAGGGCATAGATTTTGAAATAAGTCTTTTTTTTTTTTCATCTTGTTTGTGATTTAATTTACCTGTTTCTTTTAATCTATAAAGAATAATACTTCTGTTTAACTGCAAGCTCTGGATCTGTAGGTCAAGTTAACAGAGTTTATACCATACCTTAGCCACAGATAGAGTGGGCATCAAAAGCTGGAGGCTCCAAAATGCCACCCCTTCATAGCTACTCCCTCCAAAAAGGACTACAAAGATCTGAGATGTATATGCTTTCTGCCCTCCCTTGCCTTACATTCCAGATTTTTTGAAACTAGATGAGATATTTTATGAGAAATGACTAAAAAGGAAGGAAAGCTTATTAGGAATCTCAATGCAGAGTTAGACCATTTCCAATAGCTAAATAACTATCAACTAGCATTGAGATTTGCATAGTTTTTCCTTTAAAAATCACTTGCTAAATAGGTGTCCATTGCGTATCCTCTTTTAACTTAGTACTAGGATGTGTGCTTTTGTAGGTATGGAAATCATGTTTGAGCTTCTATGCAATCTAGTCCAACAGGCAGATGAATCCCTATACAATAAATGAGATAGTGGATAAAGCAGAACTTGTTCAAGTGCTATGTTGATGGAGGTGACAGAAGGTCAAAGGAGGCGGAGGCTAGTGCTTGACATCTTGCCCCAGAAAGTTTCCTGTGGGAAGTGGAATTTGGAGAGGCGAGAGTTAGGGGGAACTTGAACTCCTGTGAGCAGCACGACATGGACAAGGCTTGGAGAAATGTGGTGCCTCCGGCGCAGCATCTAGGCGGCGTCACGAGAGGGTTGTGAGAAGTAACACCTCATATTTCTCAAGAACATATTCTTGGCTATTGGTCTTGTGCCTGTGTGTGTCTGGGTACATTATGTTTATGTTAATGCAAAGTTGTTACAAAAACATGATTCAAATTTGAAAGTTGTTTTCAGGGAACGAAGACAACATATGTGATAACACATAAAGTGGTCCAATCATGGCTGATTTCATGAATTCTTTCTCATGTCTTCTCTATGGTAATGAAGGACTGGCTAGACATGAACAACTTGGAGCCATGAAAATTCTTCTTGGATGTTAGGAGCCATTCAATTTCTTTGGCTTTCCCCACTATTTTTAACACAGTGATAAAAGCAAACCAACTTAACTTACTAGTGTTTTCTTTACTGCTTTCAATCTTTCAATTGTCTGTGATAAGAGAGGAAATGATCTGAAGTGGACATCTAAGTAGAGATTAGACCCCAGCACTGGCGACCAGCAAACCCGACTGTCCACCTTAGGTCTCACTGAGGATCTCTGGATATGTTTTGAAGGCCCCCCAAAGAAACCTATGGGTCAGATCATCTTTAAAGCTGGCTTTTTTGTCCTATGGTTTTAATTAACCATAGTTACCCACAATTTACAAATATTAAAGGAAGGACCCCAGAAATAAAGTCATAAATTTCAGATAATTTATTTTAGCATATTGTTATAACTGTTCTATTTGTTTATCATTTTAAATCTCTCACTGTGACTAATTGCAAATCTAACTTTATCACAGTTACATATGTAGAGAAAAGGCATAGTGTACATGAGGCTCTGTGTTATCTGTGTTTCTGTACATCCACTGGGAGGCTGAACCCATCCTGGATAAGGGAGGACTGCTACGTCCACTTGAATAGATAAGTGCCATTGGAGGGAGAATTTCTGGTTGGTTTGATTTCCAGGGAAAGAATAATTCCTGACACCAGATTAACAAACATGTATCTTTGGTAACAATGAGTGTAAAACAGACTGAATGGCTTAGAAGAGACAAGTAGACATTATTGGGGGAAAAAATGTAAAATGTGTTGTGGGTACTATGATTATTTTTGAGTTATACTCACATCCCCAAACCGGAATACTATTTATAGTTTTGCTGACAGTGGGCTCAGCACTATTAAAGAAGAAATCTTCTGGCCCCCAGAGGGTTTTACAATCAGTTTAGAAGCTGCTGGCTTCTATTCTTATAGCACTATAGACAGCTCTAACTTACACACAAGTTACAGACCAACATTTCACTGTGTCCTTGATTTCTTTCTTTTCCCACAGACTAAGCGAGGTTATAAATAGTAGTTAGGCACTCAGACACGTACACAGAAGACTGTTTAATAGATGGAACTTAACTATATGTTTGTTGATTAATGAGGAAACAAACACAACCTCTATTCAATCAAAGGCTCTGTCCTTAAACCAAGGGTGCATGTGCTATAAGAAATAGAAGGTACATATTTCCAACTTTTCAGCAAGATGAAGTTAGACTTGTGCAAATGTTTATAACGAAGGTATCTATGCACTCCTGGGACCCCTTCCTTTGTCTTTGCATTTCTTTACTATGATCACTCTACTTTGGATGACCTCGGAAAAATTCTACACATTTTACCTGTTGGTCAATTATTTAAGATTCTGTGCCTCTTTTCTCTCAAGATTCACTTCTTTGGTAAGACTGACTTTATTTAGAAAATAGTAAGAAAAGCTTAATGTACAACTGTTTCACATTATTTGTGATAGACAAATGGCACCATAACCACTCTAAATTATTCATTTCTAAAAAATAGTTTATAAACTCAAGTAGATATTGAAAGATGCCTAACTAGTGAAGTACACCAGAGAGCAAGCTCCAAGCAGCTTGTGATAGACCTGGGCCAGGAGAGGACACCATAGCAACACGTGTCTTGTTTGAGATTATTAATCTGGAAATCCTCTCTCTGGGTCTGTGTAAAATGGCTCTTACAGATCTAAACCTAAATCTATCTATAGTCTTTCTTACCTGGCCTCCCTTCTCTGGTGTCTTAGTGACATCTATGGATGAGACTATGTTCATTATCAACCTCGTTTGCATAGTCTCCATGTCTTTTTAGAGCTCTTACAGATCATGTATATTATTTTCTCTGTTTCTCATTCTTCAACTCAGGCTGAGCTCCTTAAAAATCAGTCAGTCCAGCAATTGCAGGCACAAACCATAGCTCCAAAATCAGACATGTGCCCCCAATCCTCACCTTCTTTATCCTTTAAGCTTCAGTCTTTATCTGTGAGATGCAGATAATACTGGAATCTGAGCAATTAAAACTTGGTGAGTATTGGACTGTAAGAGACAGATTAAGTTCTTTTAAAATACCTTATGCATAGTCAAATACTGCAGGTTAAAAAGTTAGAGGTTGCTATGAATGTTGGAGCGCCCTTCCTTTTCCCATCATTATCTTTCTGGCTTGTAGCTTTCTAAGCTTTTGCAATCAGTCTCAGTCACATCTGTGAGAGAGGCATATAGTTATAGTTCAAGATCTCTTAGACCTTGCTCAGCACCTACCATATCACAAAGCCTGTAGGCTGCTGGGACATGTGATCATGGA